CATTTCTCTGCAACATCATGCTACTGGTTTAAGGAAACAGAGATCATTATTTGAGCATCACAGTCAGGTTGTGGGGTCAAGTTTAGGCCACCTCTTATGGTACTTAATAACATACAGGAGCTGGTGGGGGAGCAACACCCATGTGCCTCTTACCCTTTTTCTTCATTCCACCACTTGTGTAGCTAAATGTAGATGTCAACAGATTTCATTTCCTTTACAACTTCAAAGTAAGCCGTTAGATCAAAATATTGTTGACAACTCAGATTTTTTCATTATTAAAACAACCTGATCACCCACAATATCAGTCTAGCAAATAAGGAAAGCCCTCTTGCACAATTAGCAGTCACACTTCCACTGGTTTTGGTTACAGTTTGTTGAGGCTCTTTGGATTAATAATGTGCGAGAATGAACTTGAAGAGGTAGCTAATCACTGGTACCATGTACTATAGCAGTAGGAGCCACAGGTGAATAATCCTTCAACAAATACATACTGTTAATCTCATAATTGATGCAAAGAACACAGGCACTAGGTTTACTAATTGGTTTTACACAGTACATCACCCAGTCTGACCATCTGATGTCCCAAATTAACAACCGTAACATTATATGAACAGAAGATCTTTTTACTTGGAGATCTAAAAAAAAACAAATCCTCTCCTTTTTGCACTCGAGCAACTGAAGTCTACTGAGGGCAAAAAAATAGCCACCTCCATTCCCACAGACCCACGAGTCAGCCAAACAACTGTTTAAATTGTTGCTAGTGTGGGCTGTGCTATAAAGAAACAAGGAATTTTTGTAAATTACTCAAATAATATTCACTGGAGATGTTCATAAATCTACTGTCCACTCCTGCACACAGAACAACCCAAAACAGTAATTGGAGCAGTTGTCTGGAAAGGCTCATTACGCAGCTGTGGTGCTGCAGCAAGAAGCAGCAAAGCGTGATGGAGAACTCGGAAAACCCATAGTGAAATTTTGGGTATAGTAGAGATAGCAGGAAAACAACTACATACATAAAACAAGGCTTTCTGTTTGCATCCCATTAATGGCTCTATCATTAGCTCACTGCAAGATCTCATCTCTATGACTTTTTTCCATACACCTTCCAAGAGCATTATACTGCTGTGTACAGTCATACTTGGACAGCCTTAATACTTTTTAAGGTACTTTTCTTTGAAAAACAATCCTTAGATGAGTTGCACAAACTCAGTGTCTGTGCCTTTGTTTCTATTCCAGCCAAGAAGCAGTTTATGGGAGAGCAAAAGCAGCAGATTGGGAGCTCATAGTAAACTTCTTACACCACCATGCACAGCTGCAAAACTGTAGGGTTTGGGTTTCCCTGGTTTACCTCTTTTTTTTTCTTTTTTTGAATTACATCTCTTTTGTAAAAAGCAAAGAAATTTAAAAAGCCACTATATATCCATTAATATACACGTGAAATTAAGACATGTCCTTTCGGCAGAGCCCATCTCTTCCTGTGCATTCAGTGGCTCATGTCTGGCAGTGCACAATCTCAGTACAGTCACAGCTGGGATACACCCTTGAAACAAAGTGTGCTGCAAACATGAACATTTTCACTTTAGTTTGCAATTCAGGTTAGAGGGTGAACCAAAAAAACCTAGACTTCTAATGTAAGGCATCAGTTTCTGCAGATTAATCATTCCTATGTAGCCAAAGGGAGCTGGTCCAGGTGGAAAGGTTAGACAGAATGATGTGCTTGACAATAGCTTGGGGGGAAAAAAAAAAAAAGGGAGGGAAGAATTAAGCTAGAAAAATGATGCTGGGATGGATCACTTACTCATTGCTTGTGCTGTGAACTGGACCAGTCTGATACGGTTTTGTCTTAATACTATCTGCCAAAGGAGTTTCTACAACTTTGTAATAACCTGCACCAGTGCTCAGCTCCCTACCTTGCTATCTATAAAAATCAAGCCTAGATTTTACTTAGCCCAAGCTAACTCATTATATCCCTCTGAAAGAAACAGGGAATAGAACACCATAACCTTTTACTGATCAGATGATCAATATGCTTCTCAGTTCCCCTTTCTACATTAACAACCCAAACTCTTATGGCTTTTCTGCATAAATCATACTTTCTAAACATCTTGTTAGATAGAAAAGATGCTCTTTCTTGGGATGCAATGCCCAAGTACTTGCACAGAGAAGTAAATTATTTCCTGTATCTTACCACAGTATTCCTGCTAATACCCCACAGAAGTCACATCCAAATTAGTTTGTGATCCACTCCAAACCTCTATCAAATGTACAATATGACTGAAAACTGCCACAGGAAATACATGCCCAATAATCACTGAAGAGCTCTGTAATTCAAGAGCTTGAGTTGTATTTAAGCCAATGGTTATATTCTAGTCTAGTCCTGTTTCTCTTATTTCCCATTACTCTAATACAGCTCTGTTATGAAAGCATCTAAAAATATCTTTCAAAGAAAGTCTTCATCACATAAATGACCAAATCTACTTGCTTACTCAGCAAGTTGGTATACATCTGACAAATAAAAATGAAAATGCATTATTTAATCTGAAAAAGCGTGTCTTGAATTTTTGTGTTGCTCACTCCTTCATTTTCTGCAAACTGTGTGAAGTATCATGCAATGATGAACATTCATAAAAACCCATAGCACCAGAAAACTTACAAGTAAGGCGTATGATTCAGAAGTGAAACAAAGACATGATGCTGCTGGACAGTTTTTGCCATACAGCTACTTCTATACTATCTATTAAAGATGTCAAAGAGCAATTCTGAAGAACCTGAAATGGTAACAATGGATCCAGAAGATCTCTTGAATTAAGTCGCAGTGGGATGAGGTAGGGAGGAAGAGTGTATTCTTCCTACTTCTGCCATCCTTTACCTTTCTTCTTAGAAAGAAAAGCAAACAGGAACAGGCTTTTCTACTTCAGACCATTGTCAGTTCAATTGTAATAGGGATTAGAGATATTGAATGTGTGAACTATCCACATAAAACATCTCAAAAGTGAGAGTAGCTGGATTAGCCTGTATAAACTGCGCAGTGTCTGAATCCAAGCTATGCTTTTGTAATCAGTAATGTTTACTGTCCAAAGCAACCTGAAATATTGTTAGATATGTTATCACTCCAATAATGGCTTATATGCTATCATTTTCAAATCGAAATACAAAGATCCGCTATTTTAAAAAGTGTAGGTATCTGGTAGGGAAATAGTATTTAGGGTTTCATTCTATTCCTGCAAATCTGAAACTCTGAAGGAAAGAAATCTGATCTACAAATATATTCTACGTTTCGCCTTTATTCTTCCACATTTTCAAACAAGAAAGATTGCGGGGGTTTTAGGAGCCATGTTCTTGCTCTGATTTTCTATTTCTGGGCATTTAGAGATTGCTTGTTAGATTAGGTGAACAGAGTTACAAAATGGGTTATCATTTCTATCTGTATTGTTGTTCTTACATTTTATTCTCCCTGCAAAACAGGTGCATCTTCTTCTCAGCGTGTCATGCATTTCCTCTTGGGAGAGTGGGTGGTTCTCACAGAAATAAAAAGTATTAAGCTTTGTAAGAAACAAATTCGGCATAAAAACCATTCCAGCAAAACGTAATGCTGCACAATGTAATGCTGCGCTCTGATGAAATAATCTCCTTGTTTCTCCTGACACTTCTTTGGAGTCTGTGGCAATGCCTGTGCATTCTCCCTCAAGTTACAACAGTAATATTTCCTAAACCTGGCTGAGCATTTCAGAAAAGAAGACAACTTTTAACCCTCCAGTGTTCAGTTAATCATATTACGAACTTTCATGTCTTGTATTCAATTATCAATTTTCAAAGAACTCAAAATCAGTAGCAGCCAATTTTAATTCCCCCACAGCTGTCATGGCCTCAAAAGGTTTAGCAACCTGAAAAAAAACTATACACACAGGGAACCCATGACACAGGAGGATGACTCGTAACGTATCCAAAAATCAAATACAACCAAAAGAAAGATGCTCATCTTTGTACAAGCTGGCATTTCATCTATAAAAGACATCTGTCACTTAGACGTGGCACAACACTCAGCATAATAGGGAGAGCATTAAGTGTTGTAGAGCAGGTTTGAAGCTCATAGAGAGAGAGGTCAGAAAGGGACAGGGACTTCAAGGGTACTTGTCATTAACACCCCTTCTCTGCACAGTCTGCAGAATTCAGGCTCCAAAAAGGTGTCCTAGAACAGTGCAAAAACCACGACCAGTGCTTCCACCAAAAATTGTTTCATGCTGTCTTCAGCTGGGGAGGCGACCAAAACCCTGCATGTTAAATACTAGCATCCAGTTGTGTGCTTTTTTGTGCTTTCTCCATTAGTAATTCCTCATCTTAGAGAAACAATTGACAACTCCTTGAGAGAAACACACATTAAAGAAACTGTGTCAGCCAGACCTATAATGGACAGATAAGCACTGGCCCTTCCCCTTTGCTACAGGGCATCCAGCAGGTTTGAGACATATCACCAAAGGCCAGATTTTCAGGAGCCCAGAAGTCTCAGTTCAGAACTTCAATCACTCAGCCTGTGCATTGGCTAATCAAAAGAGAGAAACAAAGAAAGAAAATAGGCTCTAACTACCCCTACCCTGTACCATTTTTTTTAGGACTGGCCTTTAAGTCAAAACCTCAGGAAATGCTTGGCAACTCCTAGGCTTATATATCACTGTACTAAGAGATGGATCTCTTTGAGAGCCCTCACTTCCATTTTTTGCTCTCTGTATGATCACTCCCTTCTCTTTGTATTCCCACCCATGTGCAGAATTCATTAGCCCTTTGCCTTCCATCAGAGCACTTAAATCAAATGAGTATATCTTCCAAAGCATTCAACACCCAAGAGCTTCTGTGAGGAAAAGAAAAAAAATCCGGCATTTAGCTTTTCAATTCCTTTGGGGCTGTGGCCTTCAGCACTTCTTGGTAAGACTTTAAAGGCAAATAAAAGGAAAAAAAAGAGATATATATGTTTCTTACTTCCCCCTTTTCTTGCTGTCTTGTAGCCCATGGGATCAGAGCGGATGGAGATGCGCAAACGGCAGATGTCTGCGACCCAGGAGACCCCAGGTGCTGCACAGGCTCCGCTCAGCGCAGGAAATCGAGGGTCCAATGCCTGCTGCTTTTGTTGGTGCTGCTGCTGCAGCTGCTCCTGGTAACCCCTCTCATTCAAGCCTCTGGGGAACAGAACAGCAGGGGAGGGAGGCAATAGCCAGCATATAGACAACACAAGCCAAACAAAACACCTGGGTAATTCTGCAAGTCTGGAACTAAGAGAGATTATTGTGCTCTAGTACTATGCACAACCTTCTACTCTAGTTTACTCTTCCTTTTTTTTTTTTACTCTGCCATTGAAATAATATTTTTTTTTAAATAATCTCTGTACAGTATCTCTGTTGTACTTTTGTTGTCAATACTGTGTAATAGAAGGTCTGTTTTGTGCATGACTGGTTCTTCTCAGCCTTGAGCTGGGTTTCCACTAAAAACTGAAAGCAATACCAGAATATGTTATTGCTTTAGATTCAGGACTGGGACTTAACGAGCAGCACAGACTCTTAAGTGGAGTTAGGAGAAGGTGGCAGAATTTGTAGGTCAGAAAGCAAACAACCAGGTGCCCGACACTGTTCTTTTATTTCAAACGCAACTGGATCTGTTGTCATTAATTACTGTTGCCAGCTGATCCTTAGGATCAGAGACTTCAAACATTGTGGGTATTTGCTGAAGATGAGGAATTAAGCAAAACATAATTCAGAAGAACTCCCATGACAAGTGTTAAGGGGGAAAATTTATCAAGGAATCAAAGCAAGAGGAAAAGGAATCACTCGGTTCCTTAAATTAATGATGTGTTCACACCTCTCTCTTACCAGCTCCTCCAGATCCAAGTGATTTCATTCAAAACACAAGCTTCCTCTACTCAAAGTCCTGTATCTCGTTCAAGGCCAAATGTTAATTAATGGGCAGAACTTGCATTGAAATAAAAAGTCTTAAACAACTGTAGGAGTTCAATCAAAACACTGAGAGCAAGTTGAATGCTTCCTACAAATGCACTATCCAGCACATACATACTTCAAAGCAAGCAAACCCGGCACTGAGGTGAAGGGCAGAAGTCAGAAATAACATTATAGCCCAGACTAGGCAACTAATCCACCGTTTTTTCCAACAGGAGCTGATACAAATGCTCTGGAGTACGCCATTAAAGGCAAGAGAAGGCTGATCACTCCTTTGCTATTAGTACTCAGCTCATCAGAAGCAGAGATACCCACTTCTGCCCTCCCTAATGCAAATAGTTAACATCTTGTAAGGACTAAAGGGTGCTTGGAGTTCTTTTGCAGGATGCCAAGTACTCTGGCTGTGATCCTACTAAGATTTTCAGGAGGTGCTTAGAGGTAAACTATGGGAGAGTTTAAGGAAACATTAAGTACTGTACCCATATGGGATCGGAGTCTGCTGTCTCACAGGATTGCACCTATTTTAAAGCATCCCAATACAAATTCCAGTGTCATCTGCATACCTGTCCAGTGCAATCTTATAGAATCATACATAATGGTTACAGAATGGTTAAAGGTTCCATAAAATGGACTCTCAAGTGGCTCAGTCTAGAGTTGCATTACACAAACACAAGTCTTTCCATAAAAGGGAAAAAATCAGGCACATTTATCTACTGAGAGTACATAAAATTTGCATTATCTTTTAAATTGTTGATAAACTGCTTTTTTGCCATTTTACCTGATATTTTCCAGGATGCTCATTTTCTGTGAACCTCTCTATTCAAACAATTCAAAGAAAGCAATTTACTCAATAGGGTCTGTGAAAGTACCTGAATTTCATGATGCCTAACGTTCCTATTTGCATTTCAGAATCACCTGGGAAACCAGAATAGGCTCCAAAACAGAGCAGCTTGTTTTAGCTTTAAAATAATTTGATTTTTTTTTGAGAACAATTGTTTTCTAGTAGCAAGAAATGCAAAACAAACCGTAATTATGCTATTTATATTCCCTATTCATAGCGCTTTTCCTCAAAATAGCTCAAGCACTTTGAACAGAAAAATTATGAATAGGAATAAAAATAGCAATCTACATGAGTCATGCAGCTAAGTTGCTGAACATCCAATATTCAGCATACTCTTAATAGTAGATTTAGAGTGAAGAATTAGTGAAATGAGTCTCAGCTGGATGCTCAGAGCTGGCGTTCATTCCTACAGCCACAACTCAAGCCTCCAACCTGTTACTTTTCCAAATCCTAAGAAGATGCAGTATTGCTCTAGTCTGTTTTTCTTTACCTGGGAAAGAGCCTGTCTTGAGAGGCATTTTCTGAGGAATGACATGTTCTCTTAAAGGAGCTGTTATTGCTTTTGTATTTTTTCCCCTTTCATGCATTATCCTATGAAGACACTTTTCTTTTGGATCTGTTGGCTCCCCTCAATCCAAAAATAACTGACAAGCATATCACTTCTTACCTGTGTGTGAGGAGTACATAATATACCACTTTTCATATTAAAAAAAGGCCAGAATCCTATATATCCCAAAAGAACAGAGAACTAACAATACTACTTAGTTTTTAAATCTTTTTCTGAAATGATGAACTGAAATCACAGACTCATAGAATGGTTTGAGTTGGAAGGGACCTTAAAGCTCATCCAGTTCCAACCACCTGCCATGGGCAGGGACACCTTCCACTAGACCAGGTTACTCAAGGCTCTGTCTAACCTGGCCTTGAATACTGCCAGGGATGGAGCAACCACAATGTCTCAAATGAGACATACTCATTTCCAGTCGAACTCAAAATGATATTGAGCAATTATTTATCTGCTTTTCATGCCACAGTCCTCACATTTTTAAGCATGTATTAGCACTTTCTTAGAGCTGCAATCAATTACCACAGTCTGGTTAGATCTACATCTGAAATCCAAATGATGCTTACAGTTCCAACATCACATGCGGAAGTGTCTAGCTTGCTTAAAACTTGTGCTTCAGCTTCTGAACTCTAGGTTTTTTTGTAACATGGTATCACCACTCTAAACCAGAGTCTTGGCAAGCATCATGTCCTATGGATATAAAACATAGCCAAGAAGAAAAAAGATTAAACAACGCCAAAACCAAATCAAACAACCTGGTCTAGTGCAAGGAGTCCCTGTCCATGGCAGAGAGGTTGGAACTAGATGATCCTTAAGGTCCCTTCCAACCCAAACCATTCTGTGATTATATGAGCCTTGAAATCTAACTCATAACCAGTGCATCAGATCTAACTTAAGTAAAAAAATTACATTGGGCATACACAGTATAATAAGCATCAATAGAGAGATCTGCTACATAATAAAGGGTACATGTGCGTACATTTATTCATAGATACATATCCCATATATGTATACACACACACGTGTGTGTGTATACATATAAACACATGTGGTTTTATTTATATATATATACATATATACATATATATATATATATATATATACAGGCACTTGGCCATAATTATCTTTATGGGTCCCTTCTTACTTGAGATATTCTATGAATCTATGACCCCTGTACAGAAAATGTATGTGATACAATATTGAATAGCATTCTGCTACATTAAAGTTTGCCAGGTTTATTCAAGTGTAAAATTAATGTCAGAGTGTAACTATGGGTAATGTGGCTACTGTTAGCTTTTGCTACCTAATTTCTTCAAAATATCAGAGGAAAGGCATCTCTTCCTCTATAAAGCTGGCTGAAGTTTTGTTTGCTACCTTGCAGTCTTACTGTTAGAAATCAAGATGAAGAGAGAGCAAGGAGAACATCTCATGAACTGCAAGCAGAGGGTATTCCAAACTGCGAGGAAAGGTATGGTCTTTGCCAAGTGTTCTGTCAACCTAAAATGACATAAAACCTACAAAACATACTAAATAATTAAAGTGAATTACCTGAATTTGTCGTTTATGTGGAATTTGCAGTTACCTGTCTTTTACTTCTTAAGGAACCAAGATCTATAATCTTTTACCTTATTTATACAGAGGATGTAACTGCATCCCCACTTTCATAGCATGGCAGATCAAAACCAGCACTGTGAACAGTCTCCCTTTTTTCCTGAAATAACTTTAAAACACATCCTGTTCCCACCCAGCAGCTATGTAATGAAGGTAACTGGCAATGCTTAGCCTTACAACAATAATAAAGAGGAGCTCAAATCCTCACGAGAGTCAGGTACTGCCTCTTGCTCAAACAGGCAGGAGCACCTGTAACAGACAGGAGGGTACCTTTTATAGGGTTTTGAATCATTGCTTCTTTCAACATATTTTCATTCAGTTTCTAACGATTCAACAAGGACTAATGGGTATAGAAAAAATGCTTAGCTTTTTCAGAGGGACTTCTCTGTTGCAATTACTTTGAGCAATAAATTGCAATTTCAGCATTGAAGCACTAGCAATCATCTGCATCTGAGTTTTTGATAAGCACACTTTGAGAAAGTATCTTATAAGTATGTTTACTAGAGTTTGCACTAGGAAGGTCCAGTGAGGAATGGAGCCCCATGAACCTTGTGATTTTGTTCCATCGTGATGGTAGCTGCAAACAGCTTAACAGTCATTCATTTCTCTCTTCTTGTCCTCTCATTCCCCCTCCTGTCCTCTTCTTCCTCCTCAAGCCCTGCTCCTACTCTTGAAGAAGTAAATGCCTGGGCTCAATCATTTGACAAGTTGATGCTTACTCCAGCTGGCAGAAATGCTTTTCGTGAATTTCTACGAACAGAATTCAGTGAGGAAAACATGCTTTTCTGGATGGCCTGTGAGGAACTGAAACAAGAATCTAACAAAAGTGTCATTGAAGAAAAAGCAAGACTAATTTATGAAGATTATATTTCTATCCTTTCTCCAAAAGAGGTATATTAACTTTCCCCAATATGTTCTTTGATGCTGCTTTGTATAGTTAGTTATATCATGTGTTTAAAGCTACAATACTCAGGGAAAAATTGCCCCTCTATTCCATTGTCATCAAGTAGGAATTCAGGGGGAAAAAAGGCAGACCCATTGTTGAGGATCTCACCTCAAAACTGCTTAAAGTAGTCAAAGCTACTTTCACTGGCTGCAAAAGCTCTGCCTATGCTACCCTGGCATTCTGGTGTGAAATTTTTAGTTTGAGGCACAAATACACAGATGATCACTTTATCCCTGATCAAATTTTGTTGCACGAATGAGTTTCTTTATTCTTTGCACTAAAAGGGGATGTGTGCATCTCCCCAAAAGCACAGCAACCACAAGTAGTGTTACTTGCAAAGCACAAATTACTCAAACAGTAGCTGACAAAATACGGCAGAGAACAAACATGCTGACTTCCTGAAAAATTTCAGAACTACTCATCACTGTTGCTGTTAGCGAACGTGTCAAGTTTTGAAGACACCTCAGTTCAGTTTGAATATAATCCTGCCAAGTAGACTGGAAATTTAAACCTTCCAGTATCATTGCAAAACTCAAACTTGATTGTTTGTGGTGCAAGCTATACTTACGTATTTATAAAAATGCTCTTTAAATCTAGTCAGCCTATTCCAGCAATACTAATGTCTCTCTACTGACACTAGAGCCTTGCAGAAAAAAAGAAGAGAACATCATTTGTATGTTGCATAGAGTCATTATATAGCCGTATCTGTGGTTCCCAGCAATTCACCCTGATTTCAAACAGGAATTTGATTAAGCAACAGCTTAAAACAGGGTTACAGTTTCCGTCTGCGTCATACTGCTTGCTCCAAATTCAGTCTCTACAATAGCACTAACTCCCAAGGAAACGAACTGTCACAAAAAATTACAAATTCTCTCTATTACAGAGCAGGAAGTTGGTCTGGAAATAGTCCACCAGTCTCTCAGGTTTCAGTAATAATGGGATCACAGCCAGCCTTGTCCAGAGTAAAGTCGCCTCAGGGAGAAAATTTCTGTATCCATACTAAAGATACTACTACTTCCAAATTTCAACACAGTCGTTTTCTGTCCAAGTATATTTATCAGTTTTTACACTCTTGAAGGATACCAGCTGAAATCACAGAATGTTTTGGGTTGGAAGGGGCCTTAAAGTTCATCCACTTCCAAACCCCCTGCCATGGGCAGGGATACGTTCCATTGGGCAGGAACACCTTCCATTAGACCAGGTTCCTCAAAGCCCCATCCAACCTGGCCTTGAACACTGCCCGGGATGGGGCAAGCCACAGATTCCCTGGGCTTCCCTGTTACAGTGCCTCACCACCCTCACAGAAAAGAAATTCTTTTTAGTGTCTGATCTATATCTACCCTCTTCCAGTTTAAATAAACTAGTGCCTTTTCAAACAGTAAAACAAACCTAAACCCCCACATGTACTATGCGCCAGTATTATTTACGTGACTTTCTGTTTTAATATGCAGGTCAGTCTGGACTCCAGAGTAAGAGAAGTTATTAACCGAAATATGCTGGAACCCTCACAACATACCTTTGATGACGCACAGCTTCAAATTTATACCTTAATGCACAGAGACTCCTACCCACGGTTTATGAACTCTGCTATTTATAAGGACTTGCTTCAGTCCTTATCTGAAAAATCCATTGAAGCATAGAATTTTTTCTTAAATGTATTTATTTTAAAACAAACAGAACTCTGGGCTACATCAATCCACAGGGAATTTAGAATTAATCAGATATTTACCTGAAAATAACTCAGGCAAGTTTTACTACAGACTGAATGATTTAAACCCGCACAAGGCTCTGACACAATCAGCTAACTACAATTTCTGATCAAATTCAGTGTGTCTTTGCAAAAGAGAATGAGGATAATGATGAGAAAATGTTGTTCAAAAACTGCAGTATTTCTTTTTCTTCAAACACAGCATGCAATTCAGAAGCAAAACTGTTAGCAGCGTATGTCTGAGGCACAAATACCAACTGAGCACGAAGACTAGATTTTATTTATAAGTGGATTGTTAGAATTTTCTGGAAAACCAAACCAGTTGCCCCACCCACACTGTGCCCAAAATGAAAACTGTACTGTCAATATCTGGGTTACATGAGACAAAAGTTCCACATATACCTGGCTTACGTACGGTCCACTTCTCTTGGTATATTTAATGCACATATAGTGCACTAATGGAAATCGGTATGGCAATCTCAAGTTTATGGAAGCTAATGGTTGAAATCATGCTGCCTATAAAAATCTTTTGCTGAAGAATTGTTATTTTACTATTAGAGTTTTCTGAATGCATTTTTAAGTTCATACTGTTGAAGTTTATAAAGTTAAATTATTTACTTCAGAGGAAGAAGAGTCTGGGCATTTAAATTCCAAAACAAAGCACAAGAATTCTCACATAATCTTCTCTTCCCTTGGTAGGTAGATGTAAAAACCCTTCACTATTTGCTCCTGAGTGGATGGCAGTATCAGCCATCTTCATTTTGTACATATTAAATTGTCCCATTATCTCACAGATCTTGTAAGGTTTCTATTCCAGATACACACATATTTAATTGAGAAAAAGAAGGAAGCTAGAACTATTCTGTTCTGATACAGCACTATTTCAGACTGTCCAAAAGAAAAGCAACAGCTCTATCCACTAATAAACCATGTTCATTTACAGTATCCCCAAAGCATTACACTTTATTTCTGACTGCATCTCAAAAATCAGTAATCACAGAAAATACTAGGAAGAAAGTAAATTGAATCTGCACAATCTATGTGTGGATTATGTACGTTATTCTATGTATAACTACGTATGTTACTCTAACAACTTCTTTATTTTCAATTTCAAGATTCACTACAATTCCACTAAATTAAAGTTTGGAGTTCACAGTGGACTTCCACTGAATCGTGTTTTTTCCTGTACATTTATTTAAATGAACCAAATGACACATATAGGTAGGAAAAGAACATATGGGAATCAGAAAGAAAAAAACAATACCCCTAGAAGGGAAGAACCAGGCAGGCACAGTTCAGTGGCATTCACTGTAACCTTTCTAAAGCCTACTCTTTGCCTAATTCCAGCGCTATAAAAAAGCACAAAATGGAGACTTTCTCTGATAAAGACAATGGGAATAACAAGGCAAAATTTAGAATATTAGTTTAATTGTTTCCTCAATGCACTCAGCAGGAGACATGTTCTCCCCTTAAATCATTTGCATTATTAAACAAATAATGATGAGATTTTTCATTACACAGCACCGCAGTAGAATACTCAATCCATGGTAAGTTAACAATACCTACGGATCAGTTTCCATCATCTCCTTCCAAAACAAAAAAACTATTCAACCTGTCAGCACAAAAAAGTAAACCAAAAAACTTAAACAGCAAATCAAAGTGCTCTTATCCTCTGAAGCACAACACTGGATGACTGAGTTAAGAGGAAGACCTTCAATATACTGCTACTTAAGACACAGTCTAGTTAGCAGTCACCACCACTTAACATACCAACACTGGTTATCTCAGCTGAATTTCTAGTAAACATACCCAAAGCACTACCAACACAATTTCAGTTTACATAAAGTATTAAACGGTAGGTAGTAACTTCTACAAAGCAAACTAGACATACTGCTAACGCAGGGTTCATGGGGAACTTGCAGTCAAATTTATGAAGCGGCATGTACCATACAATCAGATTGATCTGGGTTGGAAGGGTCTCCTAGTCATCAGAAAGATCATATAGTTCCAACCTTCCTGCCATGGGCAGGAACACCTTCCACTAGACCGGGTTCCTCAAAGCCCCATCCAACCTGGCCTTGAATATTTCCAAGGTTGAGGCAGCCACAACTTTTCAGATTCACCGTTCTCATAGTGAAGAATCTTTCTAATACCTAATCTAAATTTACCCTCTTTCAGTTTAAAGCCACTCCCCCTTGTCCTATCACTACATGCCCTTGTAAGAAGCCCCTCTCCTGATTTTTTGCAGGCTGCCTTTAGGAAGCTGGTCTAAGGTCTCCCCAGAGCCTTCTCTTCTGAACAACCTCAGCTCTCTCACAGCCAATCTTCACAGCAAAGGAACTCCAGCCCTCTGATCATCTTTGTGGCCTCCTCTGGACTTGGTCCAATGGGTTCACATCCCTCTTGTGCTGGGGGCCCCAAGGGCTACATGCAGTACCCCAGGTGGGGTACCATGACAGTGGAGCAGAGAAGCAGAATCACCTCCCTTGACCTGCTGGCCATGCTCCTTTTGATGCAGCCCAGCATACGCTTGGCATACTTGTTTTAATCAGGGTGGGTAAAAGCACTCTAAAATTCTTAGGTTAACAAAGTAAGTTTAACTAGGTCAAATTCAGCTTGCTAGAAAGATCAGACACGCGTATCAAAAGAAGTTCAAAGTGTGTCATTTCACAAAATGGAGGATTTCATTTCTTTTAAGTTATCTCTCTTCCCTGCAAAGATACCTCATTAAGAGCTGGAAGACAGGCCAAACACTCATTCTTTATTTCACACAATACATTCTATTATTCTGCAAGAAAGAAAAAGATGAAATGAGAGAGGAGAGAACTATATTGTTTTGGGCAGTTCTGTGGTTACCATATGATTATTAAAATAAGAAAATAATTTCTAAGCTTATTTTCCATGTGCCACAACTTCTAAGCAATCAGAATTCTCTAGGCAATTTTCCTTTTCTTTCTGCAATGTGCATCTTTCCTGAAAAATTGTAACAAATTTTAATGCTATGGTTTAAGTTTATGCCCAACACCAACAGCAGAACACTGGTCCCTAGATACCCCGAGAGAATCTCTTGAAAAGCCCAAACAGACAACACACTCCCCTAAATAAGTTGTGATTCTGAGACTGCTTAATGCTGGATTTAATTGAAGCAGGAAAGAAGGGGGGCAGAAAAGGAAAAAGAAAAAGGAGGAAAACAAAACTCCACCCACACAGAATGCAGGGTTTTAACTACAGTTCATTACTATATACTTGCTCATTATGCACCAACTTTTCTCAGGGCAAAAGTGAGTCAGTCTGGAAAAGATACTATAGAGAAGGTATTACATGACCAGCAGGAGAAAATCATACTGACACAAGATATTATTTATAATTCATCAAGTAAGAAATTATCACAAAATCAATTTATCCTGGCTTGAAAATAAGCATGGTTGGTTTGTCTTGGCATTTATCTAACTGCAGGGTATCATTAAGCTCTATTAACTTTCCAGTCCACTGGTATTCTTTCTTTAGTGTTTGCACTTCACAAACCAGTAACTCCCACAGAACATGTATACTGTTAAAGACTGCTCTTTTCACCAGCTTGCTAAGCAGTATTAAAATTGCATGGGCTCCTTCAGCCAACATATTGTGCTTTATATAATGACCTTTAAATTCCAAAGTCATTAGCACAATACAAACAAAAGAAAATAAATATATATATATTCTGAAGGGCTCTACTATCTGCAGATTAAAATGTATCACACAAACATCATGCACTTGTGCACTTCCTGATTACAAAGGATATCTGAAAACAAAAGAAACTGATGAGACTAGCACAATGTCAAGTGATTTTTGAACAAGTGTGCCCTGAATAGTACTTAAGAACACATCTTCTGTCATGAAAGGCATCAGTATTGCTTCAATGACATTAATGAAAGATTTTCTGTACTAATGTTGTAACTAAATTAATCCCAAGCCTTTTAAAATGGTGATTAAATGGTAAATCAAGATTAGTGATGATCTAGTAAAACAGAAGCTAACATACAGCTGTATGAAATTGTACTTAAAAAGGTAAACTCTTCAGTTTTATTTATATGAATGACTACTAATCACAGAATCACAGAATCCCAAGGGTTGGAAGGGACCTTAAAAGATCTAGTCCAACCTCCCTGCAAGAGCAGGGTAACCTAGAGTACATCACACAGGAACTTGTCCAGGCGGGCCTTGAATATCTCCAATGTAGGAGACTCCACACCCCCCCTGGGCAACCTGTTCCAGTGTTCTGTCACTCTCACAGTATTTTTTCCTGATGCTCACACGGAACCTCCTAGGCTCCAGTTTACACCCACTGCCCCTTGTCCTATCACTGGACATCACTGAAAAAAACCTAGCTCCATCATCCTGACACTCACCCTTTACATATTTGTAAACACTGATGAGGTCACCCCTCAGTCTCCTCCAAGCTAAAGAGACCCAGCTCCCTCAGTCTTTCCTCATGAGGGAGATGTTCCACTCCCTCAATCATCTTTGTGGCTCTGTGCTGGACTCTTTCAAGCAATTCCCTGTCCTTCTTGAACTGAGGAGCCCAGAACTGGACACAATAATCCAGATGCGGCCTCACCAAGGCAGAGTAGAGGGGGAGGAGGACCTCTCTCGACCTACTAACCACACTCTTTCCAATGCACCCTAGGGTGCCATTGGCCTTCTTGGCCACAAGGGCACATTGCTGGCTCATGGTCATCCTCCTATGCACCAGGACCCCCAGGTCCCTTTCCCCTTCACTACTGTCCAGCAGGTCAGCCCCCAACCTGTACTGGTACATGGGGTTGTTCTGTTACAAAAAGTTGGAAAGGTAATACAGCCACTTTTTGCAGAATAAATAGTTCATGTTGATGAATCTGAGTTCTACCTAAACTGGTACGGGCTGTAAGTTTCAATTTAAAATTCACATTTGTGACAAGTGGAATCCTGAATTCTGGATAAAACCAAGACACTTCCTTTGCCACACTTGGAAAGTGCAATAAAAGGCTTCCAAGTGGGATTCACAAAAGCCAAGCTCATTAAGCAGATATTTACCTTCTGCTTAGTACTAGTAAAAAAGATTAATTTGGTAAAAGATAGTTTAAACCCAACATTTTCTCCTGAGCAAGTTAACAATTATATATGAGGAAATGCCTTCTAACAAAGGGTATGGAAGCTGTGTTTCCTGAGCAGCAGAAAACTCTAGCCTTCCTTAAAGAAGAAAGACAGCATCCTTTAAGAACTACACACACACTTTAAAAGGAACACAGCCCCTTCTTTTTCTCTACCAGATTACTGTAAAAACTAGCTTAAATTGTACGGTAATTGTAGGGTTAAATTGTATGCCAGTCTCTCTTTCATTTGAGAGGATTAAGATGTCCATAGAGGTAATAAACAAACCTGCTATTCTTGAAGAGGAGAGATTCATCACCAGTTCTGCTGGCATGTTTCATTGCATAAAACATCTGAATGTACTAGGTCAGCAGTGGCACAACTGCAGTTCAACGGATAAGGCAGCCAGCTTGTAGAAATGAGATGCTGTCCCAGCCCCCCTTCTCCACCTTTCTCCTATACATCCTTTAGACTTCACATTCTCTCAGACACAGGAGAGCAATTTCAGACAGCTGAGAAAACTGAAGTACCTTCTGAACAGAGGTGCACCCGAAGCTTGCTACAGTGCAGTTTTACTTCTGGATTTGGGTAATCAAAACAAAGCATAAACAGAACTTTAGGCACCCATGATGTTTTTTGGACCTACTTCTTGGAATTCGTCTTTCACTGTGAGAAAAAAAACTGTTCTTTTTACCTCGGGGACAGAAGGGAGAAAAGGTGAAGGCTGTTACTCAGACATAAGGTAGCATTAGGTGAAACAACATTTTAATATAAGAAGAACATGGATCTGTTTCAGTGAATCCAGAGGAGGCCACAAAGATGACCAGAGGGCTGGAGCACCTCTGCTATGAAGAGAGGCTGAGACAGTGAAGGTTGTTCAGCCTGGAGAAGAGAAGGCTCCAGGGAGAACTTAGAGCAGCTTCCAGTACCTAAAGCGGGTCTACAAGAAATCTGGGGAAAGACTTTTTGCAAGGGCACGTACCTGTAAGACAAGGGGGAATGGCTTTAAACTGAAAGAGGGGAGATTTAGATTAGGTATTAGAAAAAAATTCTTCACTATGAGGGTGGTGAGACAGTGGCACAGGTTGCCCAGAGAAGCTGTGGCTGCCCCATCCCTGGCAGTGTTCAAGGCCAGGTTGGACAGGGCTTTGAGCAACCTGGTCTAGTGGAAGGTGTCCCTGCCCATGGCAGGGGGGTTGGAACTACTTGTACTTCTAAGGTCCCTTTCAACCCAAACCATTCTATAGTTCTATGATTTGAACACCTACTTGGATACCCCTATATCACAGAAAGTGCTATTGCTGTTGTACTTCTTTATTAGTAAAGTCCAGATATAATCTGGTAAGTACAGAAAGACAATTACTGTGTTTTCTCAAAGGGTAGTTCTCTTAAGTGTCATAATCAGGCACAATTATTAAGGGGCACATAGCGTGAGGAAGGTTACGTAAACAGACCTGTGCCTGCCCTGTATATGTGCTGTGAACATCAGTGAAAATTGAGGTCTGCTTGACATCCAATTTGCACTAATTTTTAACACAATTTTTTGGACTTGCTTCTTTAAAAAGGTCTCCAAACAAAGCACTGTAATTGATATTAAACATCTGCCATGAATTTGTTGCTGTCTTAACTTAAACAACAAATTATGTATCTTTAAGTAAATTCTTCAGAAGAAACCCTGCCAAAGGACCTACACACAGGCTAAAAAAAAACCCATTCTGTTAGCAGAAAAAACGTTTTCTGAATTAAGGTGTTAACATCAAATAAATGCAGTTAAAGATGTTTTTCTATAAAGTTATGCAGGAAACTTTGAATGCTGAACAATTTTCTGCCTAAAAAAATGTTTGTAACTAAGCTTCTATTTTAAATGCATTTCTTTTCTTGTACAGGCTGACTGGAAAAGCTTGCTCTGTAAAGTATTTACCAAACATTTCTTGTCTTCCAAAGCTCAAGTGTCATCATCCTATTTCCAACTCATTTGTTATAACTGCCACCATCACACAAAAATATTCAACATAGAAAATCTTGTTTCCCCTTTACAGTCAAGGAACTTATTCTCCAGAAACCACACACACTCTTCCCATCCCCCCCAAGAATCTTTCACACATTTTGGGATAGACCTCCTCACCCCCAGGCTTTGATGCATTAAATAATATAAACTTCAGTATAATGAAAGAATTTAATCTCTTCTAAAGACATTGACATGTTTTGCCTTGAAAGCACATTTGAAAATACTTCTAAACATGTGCACTGTTAAAAAGCAGGCTCTAACAAAGCAGTATTTGTACCATTCCACATACGGAAAAGACCATAACTTTAATAACATATTCTCACCTGCAGGTCTATGATTGAGATCGGATACTCTACATCTCAAAATTCAGTTTATGAACAAAAATCCATGTTATTTCTATGAGGTGAATTTAGTATTGCCTCCCCAGCCTGTTTATATTGTGATGAATTGGTTAGCTGGTGTTATCAGGACAGCCTACAACACAATGCCTTTGCTTATTTATAAGGTCTAAACAAAACTTGGTTGTCGAATACATTAAGCAAAACTGAACACCCAAATCAGATTCAACCTACTATTTTAAGACATTGCTAGGAATAATACCTACTGATAGAATGTCAAATACATGCTTTGGGCAATAAAATATATTGCATTGATCAAAGCTGGTTACATAAGCAAGCTTAATGAACAAAAGAGGTCATCATATCCACTAATAAATTTCTAAACCCCATGATCACAAATTTAGTCCCAATTCAGAAGCAGTATGTACAAACTGGAGAGTTAACTAAATTGTGATTTAGTTAACAACTGAGTTTAACATAATTAGATGAAGTTAGACACCTTTTCTCTTTGCAAAACTTGTGAACACTAGCAAGAAACAAATTCTATTCTTACAACTGAACAAATGTGGAAAAGTAAAATACATATCCAGGGATATGTTTTAGACAACAAAAATTCCAGTACATTATTCACATAGTTAGAAAAAAACAAGCCAATTACCAAAATGTTTAGTTGGTAAAAGTTTAATATCAACTTACTTATAAAAATGAAAAAATATTTTAACATTCACCATACAATTGAGCAACCTGGCCCTAATGACTATCAGCTACAGGAAGGCATTTAAGGAAATGATGGCTGTGTCAAAACAAAGGCTAACTTCAGGCATGTATGCTGCTTAAAAAAAAAAACAAAAAAACAAAACGAAACAAAAAAAAAAAGGAAAAAGAAAATAAACTCCAAATTTCTCTCACTTGCAGGAAGCTAGATGCTTAGCCTAGTTTTTAAAGCCAATTACAAAATCCTCTTTCATACTGGTCCAGATGTCTTGACAATTTCTTCTTCTAACAGAACTGTCAAAAGAAAAGAATTTTTATGAGATCTTCATACAGCTTATTTCTAAATCTTTGCAAGAAGAAACAAAAATATGACACCATACTTTGGATATGGAAATTACTAAAGCATTTGCTTATATCACACCCATTCCTTCACTCAAGCATCTTTATACAACACGCTTTTGTAACCGCCACCTTACAGAAGGTTTTAAGGACAAATAAATTCTTCCAGGTGCTACATCAAATAATTTCTAAGCTTTATCAATTATTTAGGCATCTTGGAGTATATATTTATACAATATTCAGTAGTAACATATATAAAACTAGATGCATGAAATTACTGCTGTAATCTTAACGTATGCTGTGCAACATAGCTCTGCAGTGCTCTTAACAAAAGTAAGGGAATGTGGGTACATGCTTCATATTGCATGCTATTGCATTTGAAGTTGTACGTTTTATAGGACTTCATTTCAGTGTTTCTCCACTTTATTGGAGTATGTGTTCCTCAAAAGTTTTACAATTCCCATTTCCCAAACTTGGAAAAGAAAAAAAAAAATCAAGTTATCACTGCCCTACTCATCCTGGCACAGGAATATGGATCAGTCATCTCTTTTTATCCCCTCTCCTTTCCAGAGTTGAAAAAAAACCAAAAAACCAACAAAACCAACCCACAACAGAAAAGACAATGACGAAAGGTCTAAAAAGGCCAATTCCACTCATCAAAGCACAGATTAAAAAGAATTAGAATATCTCTGGGTAAAGAAAAACACAGTGACTAACTTGCCACTACTTTGTGTGGCAAAGCAGTATTACAGCTAAACATCATAAGGGTTAAATGAATGTCTTGCCACTGCCCTACTTGAGTGATCTCACATCTTCAGCCAATAATACTTCTCTAACCTAAGCAATTTTGCACTATCAACATGTAATATCATTAATGAGCTAAGCAATAACCAAAAGTCAACAGAATCTCAGTTGTCGTCTACCGTAAACCAAAATTAAGCACAGAGCCTGGCTGTCTGCTACCAAATATGTGGAGCAGTCTATCAGTCTTACCTTCCATCTGTTTCCACATTCATTACAGACAACAAACGTTGTCATGGGTTCATCGGCACTGCGGGTTTGAACCTTTGATAAACGCAAAAGCCAGAGCAAAAAAGGAAAATCAGTATCATCAACTGTTAGTATATGTTCCATGTAAAGGTTTAAAATCAAAGTTTAACATCTGAATAAAAATATAAGTTAAATTTTCATATAAATTGAAACTGTTATTTTTTTCTCTAGACTATAAAGCCATCATAAACACATTTTGACAGATTCAGCACTAAAATATCAATTTTAGCATAGAAACTGCACATACTTCTAGGAAAAGACTGCTGTAAAACTACATGTTCAGTACAGCTTTACATATATTTACTGATGCAAAGGCTTGAAAGTGTCATGATTTGAAAAACACCTTGCTACTTAAAGCATCTGATACACGATATTACAAATGCACCTGACCCTATGATCAAAATTACATGCCCTGAAGTGCTGCTAAACAAATTAAATCCCTGCTTCTTGCACATAATTCCCAATTAAAACAGAAAAAGGTTGTAGGAATTACTGGAAATCAAGGTCTAGAGTTAGTCAAATGGTAGATTTATATACATGATGTGTATTTTATATGTATGCATCTTTATTTTCTGCTATTTATTCCCTCTGTAAAGAAAAGTATACACATACCAAAACCAGTAAATTAGCCCTTCTCCACATAAAACTGTATTAATACAAGATGCAATAAATGAATTAACACAAAAACTCAGCAGTGCAAAGAAACAGACCTTTCAGGCTATATAATCAGTTTGGATTTACATAAAATCTTTGGTAAATCAATACAACAAACATTCTTTCATAAGCACAACTAAGTAGACCCAACTATCTTCACATACTTTGTAATTTGTTAGCGTTTTGTTAAAAGTTCATTTTGTAATTAAAACATTTTCTCTGACAATGTTTATATAGAACTTAAGCTTTGAAAAAGGAAAACAAGGAGCCTGAATAACCACGTACCTGGGTGTATGTACAGTTCTTCTTTTTGCACTTGCCACATGTAAAGAGATCAGTTTGGGTACCTCCTGTTTTAGCCATCTGGTGCTCTCTAATAGCCTCTTTGGTCAGATTTTTGCGCATTTCTTTCAGCTCATCACTTGCCATTTCCTGTTACGGACAAAGAGGAGAGTTTAGTAGAGAGTTTTAGCTTTAAACAAGCCATTACCACTGTGCAAGCCCATACCTTTTTATTTTTTTATTTAGAATCTATGAACAGCAACATTACTGAAGGGCAAAGTAATTTTACAAATTTTTAATTTTATAAAACTGAAGTTGGGACATTTCACAGCACAGAAGCTACAAAAAGTTGGTGGTTGTTTTGTTTTTTTTTTAATGCAGCTGGAAAAAGAAAAGCAGTAAAAGCTGTAATATCAAACACCTAGAAACATTTCTATGTAAATGCATTTCTGAAGTTCAGAAATGTAATACAGAGAGAAGGTAGAGGATAACTTAAATGTTCTCTAGAGAAGAAGAAAAAGATCATTTCCCTAGGTTAGATCCTTGCATAATTATCTCACTGACCTACAGAAGATTATTCTAGGAAAAGCTTACACTATTTTGACTATTTCCATACTTGTACTGAGAAATATAGTAAAGCTGTAGCTTCCCGTATGTTACCAAAAGTTATATACACTTCATTTCAAAATACTAACTGAACAGCTCAGATTCACCAATTTTCTTTTTCCTTTAAAACAGTTCTAGTGTGCAGGATCTCCTCAATGTACAGTAATCACGTATGCATAGCAAAAACCAAGTTGTTCCATTTTTCTTCAGTAAAGTTTTATTCCACATCTCACATAAAGGGGGCTAGGGGTTGGTGTTAGCCATTGAGTTTTTAATTCAACATATTAATTGATACAAAGAAAGGGCACTGGTTAACACAAAACATATATTTGTATATATGTGTATACACACAGTAGAAAGAAAATCTCTAAGTATGCACTACAGATACAATCTACTGGCTTTCTTATATACATTCTTTTATCAGTATGTTTGCCTTAATCTTTACACAAAGCTAAAGAAAGGAGAAAACAAAACACCCCAAAAAAATCCTTTCCTTCAGAAAAAAGCTAACCATGATTTTCATTACATCATCTTAAATCCCACTTCTTTCAGTCTCCAAGATACTGCTTTACACCTCATTTGGATGGGTAGAATCCAAAATGTACAAGCAGAACTATAAAACGGAAACCAGATGTTAACCATGCTTTCATTTTTCTCTCCCACAGAATCCAATTTTTCATTTGACTTCCTATATCTAGTTTTATTTGTAAAGATAGCAAGCATCTCAGAAGGAATTTGTAAAGACAGTGAGCATGTAAACAGGAATTTCTAATCACATGCTAAAAATGTTCTTTCAACAGAAATTTAATTGGATTTAAAAGTCAATTCTCCTAGCTTCTTTCCCCTACCATTTATGGCTTTTTCCATTTATTGTTAAGAATTTTCTTCAAATTCACTTCAAGAATTCAAAAGGCAGATTCAAGAGATAAGCTTTAGATAAACACTGAAAATGCCAACAGGAGAAAGACTGATCTTTAAAACACAGTGCTCTCCCTTGCACAGGTGTAAAACAGCAGAGGTTAGCATTCAAAAAACAAATGGCAAGACAGGCTAACACTTACATATCCAGAAAAGTGAACATGTAAGCACCTTGGAGTCATTAGCCAGCCATATTTATGTCTTCCTGAACTTAAAAGCTACCACTGATACATCACATGGCCTTTTAAAACCGGCACAATATACCATGTTTCAGGAAATTTGCATGCAACAGCTTATCTGCCTTCTGACTTACAGACAAAATCAGGCATTTAGAAAACATTAAGACACCACTTTCATTCCCTCTGTCCCAACACAGCCTTGCACAGACTGTGCAAGCCACAAACATGCCACAGTCTTTGAAAAGTGCAGACAACTTAAATACATTATTTTTATGGCTAAGTCCAATAGAAAAACAGCTGAAGACCTACGCTTTGCTTACCTCTGCTGTCATTTTGGCAAACTTGTCAGGAGGAATGTTCCCACATAACACATTTTTCCTTAGGTTAGGATTCTTCGCATCCTTGAGATTTGATATTCTACTTCGTACCCTGTTTTTGTATTTCATATCAGTGTTTTTTAATTCTTGAAAAATAGGTGCTTTGGATTTAAGGAACAAACCAAGTAAAGTAGAGCACTATATAGGATTATTTTATGGAGTCTAATTTTCTAAAGCAATGTACTTCTACACTGCTGATCAACCCCTCTTTCTACTTTTCTGTTCAACACAGAAGACTTCACATCTTTTTGAAGCCTAATCATAGCTCAGCACATGGTCAGTGAAACGTGAGTATTTGGGCAGTAGGATGTCAACTGAAATTGCAAAAAGTCATCCATAAATTAATGTCCGGTGCCTTGACCTCATCCTGAGGATTAATTGAGTTCTAAACCAAATATTCAGCTCACTAATAGAATTTTAAAACAGGTTTGCAGGGAATTCCTTAACAGGAATGGTGGCTGACTGTAACTACCAAACAACATTAGCAAGTTAGAATCATGAAGCTTAAACTATTTCTATGCTTAAGAATATGCCTCCCCCCAAAAAAAACATCCAAAACCCAAGGTAAAAGAAAAAGATGCTCAGACCTCTGCTCTGTAACTATTCAAACACTGCCAAGAGAACAACTCTTTTGAAAATTCTGAATAATTTAGAAATAAACTTGTAGAAAATGAAACAGACATTATAAAAATATTAAAACTGTTACCAAATTTTAAAATAACATAGAAGAGCCCAGCATTTTATGTCAGAATGCTTCACTAAGATACAATACTGCTGCTGCAATGAAAACATACTGAACTGAAAAAACCCACACACACTCACCTACACACATTCCTACATGTTTTAAGACAAACCATTTAGGTTGTGCTGGTTTGCCAAAGACTAAATTTCTGCACTGATGTGTTGGACAAAGCTTGCTCTTTCTCTTTTAAATAAAACTTAAAAAATATTCAATTTATAGGTCCAGTTAATTATATTTAACATTATTAATGCTTTTAAAATATACTCTTGTTAAAGAGCACATAGACGTGCAACAAAGGATATCTTCTTCAATCTGAGAACCCAGCTCTTCTTCATCAGCACCAATAGCAATGTAATCATCTGAGAAAAAACAGAATATTAGTAACCTGACAATCTCATCAGCGTTCTACATCCCTGAAAACCCACCTGAAACTCAATCTCAGCCAATTATGAAACAACTGCAGTTGAGTTTTCCTTTTGTATAGGCAAGTTTAATTTACTATCTACTTACCACTTGAAATAACAAAAATAAGTGAAATGAAGAGCAACCAAAGTTTTAAAAAGTAGAAAAAGCCTAACTCTTCCACAAAAACAAAAGTTCTGACATCCAGTTGCAAACACAGTAACAAAAATCACCGCTATACGGAAGAATTTTTAATATTCTAATAGGCTTGGCAAATACCCATCTCCTCAGCATAGAACAGGCTACTCTAAGCAGAAAATATTTTGTATTGTGTTTCATCAATTGTTTCAGTCCACACAATACAAGTATAAGCAATTACTGTTTTGCATGCAAGAGAAAGATTTCATTAGAAACACAGTAATTAAATAACAGAAACAGTATTATTAGATTTTTGTTTTAAATGCAAAGCAGAGATGTGTCATAAAACATGTAAATTAGAGGAAATAAACCATAGCAATTTTGAAGAAAACTCAACACTCGACCTAAATTATCTCAAGATAATTGTTTACTGTTTCTGACTAAAACCCTTACTCATAAAAACAGCTGCCTTTCCAAGACAGCTTAGGACAAATTAGATACAGTATGTATTTTCCTCCTTCTCATTTTAACATGGGTGTACTTCACCCAGTAATCCAAGCACCATCTCTCCTTCAATCTCATGCAGAAGGCTATAAAACCAGAAAATAACCTTATTTTTTGATACCTGTATTCAACCCACATACGATCAGTTTATATGTCTTGTAGAAAACATAGCAAAAAGGAGTTCTTGCAAAACTAGCTAAAATTAAGGCTACACAGAATTATGAATACTAAGATGCTATATGTAATTTCTTGTCACAAATTATTTTAGAAGTCATTGAACTACATATCCACAGGACCACAAATTCATGGCCCTTAGTCAGCTTTGATTACTGTTCATATCCAAATTTCTGTGAATTAAGTGAAAGAATAAAAGAGTGAAGAGGGTAAAAATGGAAGACTCAGAAGTCTGCTTACATTGGGTCAGGTTATGCTAAGCTAAGAACAGAGGAACAGGACTGGGTCATAAGTTCTGGTAGAAAAGGACCCACAAGAAAAAAGTCAGATCATTCTGAGGAGTCCAGTTTCCATTTGCTCCTCATCTAGTGTTATCATTCAATTTGTCAGCTTAAAGACACCCAAGTGTACATGAGGGAGGAAAGGAGGAGACAAAACAGTCAAGGAATTTACAGATGCCCAAAAGCATGAAGATAGAGCAATGCAAGACTCTTACTGTGAGAGAGTCCTATCTCAATGAATCCTCAAAATTAAACTGAAAAAGAGAAAAGCAGCCTTCAAAATCCACAAAGTGAGGGCCCCCAGGGTCTCTGATGTAAGAAAGGTAGGTGTGTGCATAGTGGCATTCTTGGTCAGAGAGAAGACAAAAAACCCAGCAGCTTCCAAGAAAAACAATTCAAATGAGGCATTAAGGAGTCAATAACCTTCCTGAAAAGAAGTTCCACTGTAGGCAAGATATCAGATGAATAGATGACACAAAATGTCCCGTATCATCAGCAACAAAAATGTATTTCAATACATTCCCATGCTGTCAAGGTTTCTCATTACTTGCAGTCTAGGGGAAATGGCCTATGGGTATATACACAGAAATGGACATAAACAGTTTATTTTACCCTACAGGACTTGAGAAAAATAGTGGGAAGGACTGAAATAGAGAAGAAGGAAATAGTTAAAACTCGAAAAATAGTCTACAAAAAGCTCACCTCCTGTTCTGAGAGCTGCAGAGAGCATTTCTCTACATTTCACTCGTACAGAATCCGAAGTGCTTGGAGCCCGGGGAAAAGAAGGAATGAAAGAATTTGAGGGAGCACTACCCTCCTCCTTCCTGCTGTTGGAATTGCTACTTGAACTGCTAAAAAAAGGCAAAAAGAAAACTACTATTAATGTTTTTCCCCCCTCTTCAAATAACTTTGTTCCAGGACAAAACACAGGTCTTTTGCTATACCCATTTGATGGTATTCCAAACAAAAAGAACACAAGCCACTCTTTTAAAGCTACTTATAGCTCTAGCGTCAATACAATTTTAGAAGTGTCTTTAGAATATTCACCAGGGTACTCCACACAATAGAGACGCAGCAGGTATTTCATTCCATTTTGTGGCATGCAAGTTTTAGTTCTTTACATTAACATGAAATCTTTTCTTTCCCCCGTGGAACTTTAAAAAACAGTGAAGACAGAGAACACTAACATGCACCCTGCAGTGAATGCCTTGCATTCAGTCTGCTTACTGTACCGAAGCACTACCAGGATGACAAACAAGCAGCTTCGCAAACTGTAAACTAGAAAGTTTTCAGCTTGCATCACGTCAAATGGTTAGAGGTTAATTTCAATTTGAAAATGGCTGCTACAAACTAATTCACTAAAACCAGAAATGCATAGAAGAAATGGGCCCGCTGGTACTATTTTCCAAATGTTCTTCAGCTCCTATAATGTTGTTAACATGGCCGCACTTTTTCTGAAAACACATATTTTGTGTTTACCAAAAAAAGTGCAGAGTGGGATTGTTTATTGAATATAAAAGCTAACAGACAAAAGTAGTGTTCTAAACCTCTAACGTATGCAATTACCAAAAAACTGTGGCTGAAAGTTGTTTTACAGTTCTCAAAGCTCAGTGATATTAAGAGAGAAAGTACTGAGTATTGAGAAAGACAGGAGTATTTGACAGATGAGACAGATGGAATAAACAATAACTAGTCTGGCTGTATCTTGACCTGAGATTTTCATCTTTAATGTCAGCAGCAGCATGATTTACTCCCCTAACAAAACACCATTTCTTACATAACTCTATTTCAGAAAAGAATGTGGAAGCTGTCTCTAATATGACAAATTTTGACCAACCAATTTAATGTTTACACTGAGTGAGATCAATTTGCATAGTCATGAAGAACTTTGCACCTTTCTTCTCTTGCTTCAGGACTATTTTGTGAGGAAGATGCAGGCTCCTTTTTCTTTTCTTCAGAATCTTTATCAGTTGAAGGTCCATCTGGAAATACAAAACATGAGAAACTCTTTTACCCAGAAATAGTAACCGGTTTAAAGCAGTGGTTAAATATCTTCGATGATTTCTCCCAAACCAGTTGGAAATGCTATCAGCTCCCACTCTTTGCTTTGACCTTCTCTTGCAGTACAGCCTTCCACTCCCCAACACCTTCGCCAACCCAGCAAATGGAGAATGACAACACTTTAGATCCTTCAAGTCAAGTCCAGCATCTGCTTAAACTGGCAGCGAAGACTCGATGAAAACGTAGACTTTTATGATTTATTTTTGCCAACACAGGTGCATGACGTAAACAGTTAAGTTCTTAAATTACTGCATCAGGTCCCTAGAGCTTGTCTTCCATGTTTTAAATATAAGTTCCTACTAAAACCATGCCATTCTCTTTAGACATATTCACAGGATTTCTACTAAAGGACTGAACCAAACAAAACCATGGTGCAAAAGCTACCACAGTTGCCAAAAAATATAAAGACCATTTTCACATGCTTTTTAAGGAGTTTTCCAGACACACACAGGGTATTTTTTGTGACAGCTCTGAAATTATTTGCCTTTGTGATTAAAAATACTTGTATTTGCCTTTCCCATACAGGCTATGTTTAATAGTGATTTTATAAAGACTAAAAACAAAAGCCTTTATTAAAAAAGGCAGACACAACATTTAACTTTAGCCTCGAAAGAACACATACACCCTTCTATTGTAAAGAGGAATTCAGAGTGGCTAAATCAAGCTCCTGCTTTGATTCACTCTCTAGAAAGGCTGACTCTCCACTGTGTAGCAAGAAGAAGAAAAAACAGAGAAAGCCTAGCAAGACTGGCATCACTCACTGACAGATTTTGTGAATTCCTCTCTCTAAGCCCTCACGAAGCTGCTATTACCAGTCTAAATCCACAGACTGTACTACTGGGATAAGCACATATTACAAACTTTTAAAATAACTAACAGATCAGGAAAAGGAGGGAAATCTGATAAGGCTCAGTCTTTCCCACAAAGATGTCTCGAACTAGGTATCTGAATCGTAGAATCACAGGACGGTTCCTGTTGGAGAGGATCTTAAAGATCATCTAGTTCCAACCCCCTGCTATGGGCAGGCACACCTTCCACAAGACCAGGTTGCTCCAAACCAGCCAAATCCTTGTTTAAGCATCTAAAAGTATCCCCATTTCCATCCCCGCATTTCTGTGGGTAACTTGATGGTACAGAAGAAAAAAAAAAAAAAAAAAAAAATCAGATCTCTTATTAAAGCACTGAGCTTTTTTTTCTTTTTCCTAGAGAACAGAAAATTACTGGGTTATTTTTAATAGTAACGATTTACATTTAAGGCTATATAGAAAAGATATTAAACTGAACAGGATTTTGATCCTTTCCTTAACTTTTTAGTTAAGGAATTTATAAAACAAAGTATCACTGTGTCAAAAAATCATCATCATAAAAGGAGACCAGATACAGCCGTACTGGATCAGAGCAAGCACCCATTTACTAGTCTGTCTCCAGCTGTACCTAAAGAGATGCCTACAAAACAGAAATCAGGCAAGCACACAAAGATACTTCTCCAGAATATTTCCTCAGCCTTCAACAGGTCACCTACTGTTTGTAACTTTATATTCAATTCTTACTAAATTTCACCATTAAACAAAAATAGGAAAATTAAACACAGTAGATGATGCACTTGGACTGATTGTCTTTAATAAGCTAAAGCTGTTATTCAAAAAAATCCTAATACAGACATCCATTTATCAACTATTATTTTTAAAAGTAATTTCACTAAGAAAGTAAACAAGGCTATATAAACTGAACAGATCACACAAGTTCTTTTCTATGATACCTAAAAAGCACAATACTAAGAGAAAGAAGACAAATCCCATTTTTAACATGCAGATCCACATGACTACTCTCTATGGCAACAAACACATGATATACGATTTAAAAAAATCTTCTAAATCTGCACATAATCTCATTTACCTTCATCATTTACATGATCATTTTTGTCAGGGGCTTTAAGACAAACTGATAGATCAAACAGCTATCTTGGGGTACACCTCAGGTTCTGCAAAGCAGCATACCTGCCTTAGAGCTGAGCTCCTCTTCAGTCCATTTACCTCCATATATTTTTCTGGCACACAAGCTGTCAAATTCATAGCTGACGTAGGTATCTCCTGCTTATTTTGCATCAACCACACCACTATGGCATAGCTGGCACCTCTTTTTAGTTTATTAAACACTTCCATTTAGCTCAGCACTGTTTCAGAGAAGGTAGGCAGCTGAGAACATCTGCCAATACCCCAACTGCTTCTTTCCCTTACAGAGGGCAGGGTATACCTGAGGTATGGGGATAAAGCAACAGGTAAAAGCGCAGTTCTTTCTACACCTGCAGACTAGTCTATGCAAGCGCATCTCAATCCAAGGTCAAACTTCAGCAGCTGAGACCACTGGAACATTTTCAGCAAGTATGTCTTCAAAATCACAATTTCTTTAATTGCTTAGAGGAGTTTACAGATACTTCTGTTCAATCCAGTTTCAGAAATCTGAAAATAGAGTTAATAATGTTCTCTATGTGCTAGAAATAACCTCCTAAGTGTTTAAGTCATTCACCCTTACGGATCAAATTGGAAAGCACCAAGGAGAGGAAACCTGGAAAGGAAGAATAACAGCTAATGAGGATACAACCAACCACAGAAATTCTAACAAAGTAAAATGGAAAAAATGGACCTTCTGTGAGAGATATTTAAAAATGCCAATCAGCAAGTGATTCACATCAGGAAGTCTACAGACTATCATAAATATTTATATGATATAAATTATAAGTCCCTTTAAAGACACACGATTACTTTTTCAGCTTCATACAGCTATTATAAAATAACAAAACTCTTTTTCAGAACAAACTGAACATTACAGTTTTAGCTACTCCAGGTTCAGAAAGCCATAAAAAAGTCTTTAAGGGGTTTTTGTTTGCTTGTTTGTTTAAATAAGAGACGCTACTTTACATTAATGCTGCTTCTTTAAAATACAAAAACCACACTGGGAACATGAATTGAGTATCAGCCACTGGATTAAGTCTATCAAATTCTGACTACTGCATTGCAGCTTTTACCTGGGACTTGCAATTAATTTGAAAGATACTTCTAGCTTTTCCAGTGAAATAATCTCTTCAGGGGTCAAACATGACATAACAGTGTTCTTTGTTACTAGAACACAATTTTTAATGTAATAATATATGGCCAGATAATGTAATTAATCTGAATGTTAGAAGCCATTAACAGCTTCATTGTAGATTTTCGTAATTATATTACGAGTGAACTCACAATATTTGCTAGTAGCAAGAGAAAAATTAGAAAATATAAAGATGCCACGTTCCATATCTCAAAGAAGTGGCAAATGCTCCATCCCTGGCAGTGTTCAACACCAGACTGGACAGAGCCTTGGGCAAGGCACCCTACTCATGGCAGAAGGGGGCCAACTAGATGATCTTAAGGTCCTTTCCAACCCTAACCATTCTATGATTCTATGTCATTAACTTATAAATTTAACTTTAAATAAAGAATGTTTTTTAAGTGAGATTTTTTTCACAATTATCAATGAAAGGTGGCTACTTATTCCCTGGAAGAACATAAGAATTTCATTTAGCACATTACTGTAGGTTAGTGATTCAGGTATCACCCCCAAAACTTGGAAAGTCTTCTGAGTATTAAGTTAAAAGAAAGAGATATTAGAACAGGTAACAGATGACATAGCTATTAATTTAACAATGACTCTACTTAATATCTCTTTAGGCCACATTTCCCAGACCCTGACAAAAATAATCTTGAGATGCACAAGCAGCTACACTTGTTGGCAATTCCTCTGCAAGATGCAGTAAGACATGAAGATCAGAAAAGCTTCTTTCTAGTAGTAGCATAGGGAGGAAAAATATCTGAAATCTATAAATAAAAATCTTTAAAAATTGCAAACTGTTCATGATTTTGTTATTATCACAATTGACAAAAGAGCATGACATATGAACTCTCCTATATGTGTTTTTTCTCCTATACAGTACGATATAATTTGCATCATGTGCTATTATCTCTCTATTGATAATCAGAACAAAATAAAGATCTACTAAGTGCACATGAAACAGTTCCAAACATACATTTGATAGAAGATCATTTCCAAAGCTCATACTTGATATGGAAATGGAATTACTGAAATAACCTTTGCACTTCATATCTTATAAAGACATGTACTCTAATCAATAGGAAACAATACCCTTAAACACTATTAGACTGTAACTTAGGAACTTTTTTTGTCAATAACTATTTTTTGAGCAAAGCCACTAAGTTACTAGATGTCCTTGAACAACTTTACCCAATGAGAGCTGTCGTGGTTTAAGCCCAGCTGGTAACTCAGAACCACACAGTCACTGGCTCACTCCACCCTCTTTTTCCTCTCCCCACTCTCAGAGGGATGGGAAGGAAAACTGAAAGAATGTAGATAAGAACAGTCCAGCAACTAAGGTATAACACAAATCACTACTGTGACCACCAGTAACAGCAATGATAAGGGAAATAACAAGGGAAGAGAATACAACCGCTCACCACCCGCCAACCTTGTCTCTAAATTGGAGAGACATCAATTTGATAGGTGGACCACTCAGTGGATAAAGAACTGGCTCGATGGCCACATGCAAAGAGTTGTGGTCAATGGCTCAATGTCCGGCTGGAGACCAGTAACAAGTGGTGTCCCTCAGGGATCGGTGTTGGGACCGGTCTTGTTCAACATCTTTGTCGATGACATGGACAGTGGGATTGCGTGTGCCCTCAGCAAGTTTGCCGATGACACCAAGCTGTGTGGTTTGGTTGATACGCTGGAGGGAAGGAATGCCATCCAGAGGGACCTTGACACGCTTGTGAGGTGGGCTGATGCCAACCTCATGAAGTTTAACCATGACAAGTGCAAGGTCCTATACCTGGGTCGGAGCAATCCCAGGCACAGCTACAGGTTGGGCAGAGAA